TTTGACATGCGTTTTTCTGGATTTTTTTGTTGTTATTCTGTCTCTCACTGTTCAAATAAACCTACCATTAAAATTATAGACTGATCATTTCTTTGTCAGTGGGCAAACGTACACAATCAGCAGGGGATCAAATACTTTTTTCCCTCACTGTATATAATCAGTGCTACTTGGTGAGGTTAGCATAGGGCTAACGTGTGCCATGTTAACTGATGGGACCAGCTACAATTTATCCTTTTGTCACGTGCAAGTAAATCAATGATTTTAATTGGCTGATACGCATTTTGTGCTGGAGCACCTATTTAAATGTGTGTGTTTGTGTGTGTGTATATGTGTTTGTGTGTGTGTGTGTGTGTGTGTGTCTGAGGGTCATGCGGGATCCATGCTGGCTTTATCTGTAAGTGTGGGTAGGTTCGTGTGAAGTTATGTGAAGCTGTGGTGATACCCATAGACTTCCAGTCATTGGCTTGCAAAACTACCTCTAACTTCCTTCATACTGGACACAGAGACATAAAAATGGTATCCACGAGTTCATCTAACTCTGGGGAAGTAGATAAAGGGCCTCATTGCCAAAATCCTGAAGTATCCCTTTAATGGTGTTAGGGCGGTCGGTCACCTGGTAAGAAGGATAAGGGCAGGGCTTGACAATTAACCAGCTGCTTCGTAACCCCAACCCAGCAGAGGAGCTCATCTCTGGGGCTTTATGGCTGCTACCTAACCTCAGCCCAGAAGAGGAGCTCATCTTTGGGGCTTTATGCCTGCTACCTAAACCCAACCCAGGAGAGGAGCTTATCTCTGAGGCTTTATGCCCACTGCAATCAACTCCCTGGCCTGTCACTGTCAACCATTGGGAGAGACAGATATGGAGAGATGCTAGCACACACACACACAGACACACACACACACACACATGCACGCACACATGCTCGAGTCATGCAGCAGTCCTCTGCTCATGCAATTACGTGGGACTTTACTAAGAAAAGCCTTGCTCTCTTCTGAGTTGTGATCCCAGATTCCCAGGTCAGCAGTGCTACAGTATGGAACTGACACGAGCTGAGAAGTAGGGCCATCTGCACACCTGGTATCTGCAGGTGCAGCAGAAGAGTATAAAAGAACATCAACTCATTAAACACTTGGATTCTGAATGTTGTCATATCCTTTTCCCAGTTTGAGCTGACAGCAGGACAACTGGGATCTGGGATGTGGTGGTGCAGTGGGGCGATTACAGGCACGTGCCTCATACTGGGCCAAGACAAGCCTGCTGAGAGATCTAGGTCACAGGGAGAATAGAAGGGCTCCCTGGAGCCATATGAAGTCTGATAGATGGCTTTTTCCACACTGTCAGGTTCCACATCAAGAGTCTTTTCTGGGTGTTTTGTCATGTTTATGACCATATTGATCACTTGGGTGGCTGGGCTGGTTGGATGGAAGTCATGGAAGTTATAGACGATGCTCCATGCGGGTGTAAATCTGGCGTAAATCTATCACACTACCATCTCTCATGTGAGAATAGTAAATCAAAGTACTGTGTTTGGAACTCTACTCTTTCCAGAGAAACTGCTTTCCTCTTAGAGACTATGTTTCTAGCTAATCACATTATATACAGTAGATTAATAAACTGATCAATAAAATGATTTATCAATTGAAAGTGAAATTTGCTGATTTTTCCTTGGGTGTATGGGTGGATAGATGTTGATGGTGGAGGGATGGATGGATATACAGTACCAGTCAAAAGTTTGGACACACCTACTCATTCAAGGGTTTTTCTTTATTTTTCCTATTTTTTACATTGTAGAATAATAGTGAAGACATCAAAACTATGAAATAACACATATGGAATCATGTAGTAACCAAAAAAGTGTTAAACAAATGAAAATATATTTTATATTTGAGATTCTTCAAATAGCCACCCTTTGCCTTAATGACAGCTTTGCACACTCTTGGCATTCTCTCAACCAGCTTCACCTGGAATGCTTTTCCAACAGTCTTGAAGGAGTTCCCACATATGCTGAGCACTTTTTGGCTGCTTTTCCTTCACTCTGCCATCGACTCATCCCAAACCATCTCAATTGGGTTGAGGTCTGGGAATTGTGGAAGCCAGGTCATCTGATGCAGCACTCCATCACTCTCCTTCTTGGTAAAATAGCCCTTACACAGCCTGGAGGTGTGTTGGGTCATTGTCCTGTTGAAAAACAAATGATACTCCCAATAAGCCCAAACCAGATGGGATGGCGTATCGCTGCAGAATACTGTGGTAGCCATGCTGGTTAAGTGTGCCTTGAATTTTTAATAAATCACAGACAGTGTCACCAGCAAAGCACTCCCAAACCATAATACCTCCTCCTCCATGCTTTACGGTGGGAAATACACATGTGGAGATCATCCGTTCACCCACACCTCGTCTCACAAAGACACGGCAGTTTGAACCCAAAATCTCCAATTTGGACTCCATACCAAAGGACACATTTCCACCGGCCTAATATCCATTGCTCGTGTTTCTTGGCCCAAGCATTTCTCTTTTTGTTATTGGTGTCCTTTAGTAGTGGTTTCTTTGCAGCAATTCGATCATGAAGGCCTGATTCACACAGTCCCCTCTGCAGTTGATGTTGAGATGTGTCTGTTACTTGAACTCTGTGAAGCATTTATTTGGATAGTAACTCTAATGACTTTATCCTCTGCAGCAGAGGTACAGTTGAAGTCGGAAGTTTACATACACCTTAGCAAAATACATTTAAACTCAGTTTTTCACAATTCCTGACATTTAATCCTAGTAAAAATGCACTATCTTAGGTCAGTTAGGATCACCACTTTATTTAAAAAGAATGTGAAATGTCAGAATAGTAGAGAGAGATTTATTTCAGCTTTTATTTATTTCATCACATTCCTAGTGGGTCAGAAGTTTACATACACTCAATTAGTATTTGGTAGCATTGCCTTTAAATTGTTTAACTTGGGTCAAACGTTTCGGGTAGCCTTCCACAAGCTTCCCACAATAAGTTGGGTGAATTTTGGCCCATTCCTCCTGACAGAGCTGGTGTAACTGAGTCAGGTTTGTAGGCCTCCTTGCTCGCACACGCTTTTTCAGTTCTGCCCCCAAATGTTCTATAGGATTGAGGTCATGGCTTTGTGATGGCCACTCCAATACCTTGACTTTGTTGTCCTTAAGCCATTTTGCCACAACTTTGGAAGTATGCTTGGGGTCATTGTCCATTTGGAAGATCCATTTGCGTCCAAGCTTTAACTTCCTGACTGATGTCTTGAGATGTTGCTTCAATATATCCACATAATTTTTATTCCTCATGATGCCATCTATTTTGTGAAGTGCACCAGTCCCTCCTGCAGCAAAGCACCCCCACAGCATGATGCTGCCACCCCCGTGCTTCACGGTTGGGATGGTGGTCTTCGGCTTGCAAGCTATCCCCTTTTTCCTCCAAACATAACAATGGTCATTATGGCCAAACAGTTATATTTTTGTTTCATCAGACCAGAGGACATTTCTCCAAAAAGTACGATCTTTGTCCCCATGTGCAGTTGCAAACCGTAGTCTGGCTTTTTTATGGCGGTTTTGGAGCAGTGGCTTCTTCCTTGCTGAGCGGCATTTCAGGTTATGTTGATATAGGACTCGTTTTACTGTGGATATAGAGACTTTTGTATCTTTTTCCTCCAGCATCTTCACAGGGTCCTTTGCTGTTGTTCTGGGATTGATTTGCACTTTTCACACCAAATACGTTCATCTCTAGGAGACAGAACGTGTCTCCTTCCTGAGCAGTATGATGGCTGCGTGGTCCCATGGTGTTTATACTTGCGTACTATTGTTTGTACAGATGAATGCGGTACCTTCAGGCATTTGGAAATTGCTCCCAAGGATGAACCAGACGTGGAGGTCTACCATTATTTTTTCTGATTTCTTTTGATTTTCCCATGATGTCAAGCAAAGAGGCACTGAGTTTGAAGGTAGGCCTTAAAATACATCCACAGGTACACCTCCAATTGACTCAAATGATGTCAGTTAGCCTATCAGAAGCTTCTAAAGCCATGACATCATTTCCTGGAATTTTCCAAGGTGTTTAAAGGCACAGTCAACTTAGTATATGTGAACTTCTGACCCACTGGAATTGTGATACAGTGAATTATAAGTGAAATAATCTGTCTGTAAGCAATTGTTGGAAAAATTACTTGTGTCATGCACAAAGTAGATGTCCTAACTGACGTGCCAAAACTATAGTTTGTTAACAAGAAATGTTTGGAGTGGTTAAAAAATGAGTTTTAATGACTCCAACCTAAGTGTATGTAAACTTCTGGCTTCAACTGTAACTCTGCATCTTCCATTCCTGTGGCGGTCCTCATGAGAGCCAGTTTCATCATAGCGCTTGATGGTTTTTGCCACTACACTTGAATAAACTTTAAAATGTTCAGTATTGACTGACCTTCATGTCTTAAAGTAATGATGGACTGTTGTTTCTCTTTGCTTATTTGAGCTGTTCTTGCCATAATATGGAATTGGTCTTTTACCAAATAGGGCTGTATTCTGGATACCCCCCCTACCTTGTCACAACACAACTGATTGGCTCAAACGCATTAAGAAGGAAATACATTCCACAAAATTAACTTTTAAAAAGGCACACCTGTTAATTGAAATGCATTCCAGGTGACTACCTCATGAAGCTGGTTGAGAGAATGCCAAGCGTGTGCAAAGCTGTCATCAAGGCAAAGGGTGGCTATTTGAAGAATGTCAAATATAAAATATATTTTAATTTGTTTAACACTCTTTTGGTTACTACATGATTCCATATGTGTTATTTAATAGTTTAGATGTCTTCACTATTATTCTGCAATGTAAAATAGTAAAAATAAAGAAAAACCCTTGAATGAGTAGGTGTGTCCAAACTTATATTTAATAGATTGCTAGATTGATATATTGATAGATAGATAGATTGATTGATAGCCAGATCAACTGAAATATTAACTGACTGATTTATCTATACATGTATTGCCTGTGCAGGTTGGATGGTGTGGTGGTGGTCTATGCAGTGACGGTGGAGGTGGAAGGGGAGTGGGTGAGCAGTGAGCAATTGGACTACCTGACCCTGCAGTCCAACCTGGTGGAGAACTCCTACAGAGAGGTGGAGGAGAGGCCCACAGTGGTCTACACTATCACTGACTTCAGGAACTACATCACTGAGGCCCTGCAAAATGACAACATCATCAGTGACACAACCCTGGCCCAAGTAGAGAGTGGTAAGACATACAGCACTACCCAACACTACCTTACAATACACTGTCTATACACTAACATACACAGCAAAACCGCTATACACAGTACTCTGGCACTGTAGCCAGACTAACTATGAGTGGTAAAATATACATTATAAACCGGGTGGTTCGAGCCCTGAATGCTGATTCGCTGAAAGCCTTGATATATTTAAGTGATAATGCCAGAGAAGCCGGTGTTTGGAGGATATATTGGCACGGGTGTTGTTAGGCCTGAGACAAAGTCGAGGGCATTATCACTTTTAAAGGGTTACCAACATATTCAAATAATGATTGAAACATTTTTATAAAAAATAATATTTTTATGAATTTATTCATATATTTCATCCTTCCATGAGATATAGTCCCGACACAAATCTAGGGTTACTACCCAAGCCGGCTGGTCGTTCGTTCTATCGGTTCGGTTGCCAGAGATGTGACACAGTCGTTAAGTCTTTTTGTTTTAAATCTATGGACGCGACCCTGTCATTCGTTCTAAATGTTCCGTTGCCATGATGGCTGGCAACATTCTTATCCCTTGCTTGCTAGCTAGCCAACTTCGGCTAACACAGTTATGTCAAACAGTGCAGCCAGAGTAACAGCAAAGTAGCTGCATTTGCGTTGTTTAAGCTGTTTTCTGGTGATTTTTTGGGATACATCCATAACAACGTGCGATTTCGCCTGGCATAGAACATTTGCTCTCTCGCCAGGCCACTGTTCAGCTAACACCATTTTTGTATTTTTGTATTTTATTAGGAGTGGTAAGACATACAGCACTACCCAACACTACTGTACAATACACTGTCTATGTACACTACCATACACAGCAAAACCACTATAATTAGCTTTTGCGAAAGCAGCAGCTACTCTTCCTGGGGTCCACACAAAACATGAAACATGACATAATACAGAACATTAATAGACAAGAACAGCTCAAGGACAGAACTACACAATCACTTCAAACTGAAGCTGTAATGACAGCAAACTAGCTGCATTTCGTGTTTTTCTATTTATTTATTTTTGTATGTATCCATAAAAATGATGCTGATTCATGATTTCGACTGGCTGAGAAAAGCTGCCAGCCTGTCTGTCTCGTCCTGACTCCTGACACGTTCATTACATAGGACAGCTGGAGATCGAATTTTGAAACAATGTTGCAAATGTCGGAGAGACAGATAGCAAGGTTATTACAAATCTCCTTTGTTGAAATCCAAATGCTAGTCTAAATGAAATGGAAGATAATGTATAGATTCTTTTTACAGTGTAGATCTAGTTTATAAATTGCCTGACTGGGCTGACGAGACAGTGGATTGCGCAGTCAGATGGAACAGAGTAAATAGGCATTTTAACCTCATAGATTTAGCCTGTGGTAATTTGTGGAATAGACACCGGCTGAAATGCGGTTTTAACCAATCAGGTATCCAGGATTAGACCCACCCATTGTATAACAGACCGTATACCATGGGTATGACAAAAAACGTACTATTTACTGGTTATTACGTTGGTAACCAGTTTATAATAGCAATAAGGCACCTCTGGCTTATTGCTTAAATATACAACACAATTCCATGGGACCAAACACAATACAATGAAGCCAACGACACCAATTGGATCACTGTATCTGATTGTAAGACACCTAGTTCCACCAGAGCCAGCCCTAACCTACCCTAGTTGTCCCACCTCCACCTATCCTGACACTGGCTCTCTGAGGCCTCATTTCCTTCATTCTACTCAGCAGCACTTTGTCTTACGCAGTGTTTTGTGGTGAAGAGATTTCTGTGGGTAATTTTTGATGAACAAATAACAGACTAATCATTTATAGGGACTGTGTAGCCCTTACCTCTCTCTCTCTCTCTACTTCATCTATGACCTTTGCACACACACACACACACACACACACACACACACACACACACACACACACACACACACACACACACACACACACACACACACACACACACACACACACACACACACACATAGTCAGTAAGTAGGTTAGCTCTAACTCCTGGCAGGGTTTTTTCTTCCAGCGAATGGAACACGTTCTATGGTAATGATGATTATACCATCTCCCTGGTCTATGGGAATTCTCCCTGACAGTGTTGTAAAAGAGTTGGTGTCATTAGTTTACTGTGTTTCCCTGTAGATGGATGCCATCTGACGGCCTGATTCATTATGTGCCGAGACATCTGATATGAGGGGTAAATACTGTCAGATGCCTGCCTGCCACGGTGTGTGGTGACTTACAGGCACTGCTTGGTTCCAGGCTCCAGCCACAGGCTCCAGGCCTGATGGTAATGCAGTAATGATCTTGGCCCATAGTGGCAGGTATAGGGTCCAGATCTGTAGCGTGATTAGTAGGGCTCCCCTTATGTAAACACACAGTCGGCACCATCGCTCTCAGGACTGGGGAGAGGGAGAATGGATTCTATAGAAAAGATGGAGAGTGAATAAACGTTGTTCCTCCTGTACATTATGAGAGAAAGTTTGACTTATTATGCAATTAAGTTTGGCTTCCAACTGCAAACTTTGTTGGGTGCATTGAATCAAGTGTGGGAAAGGAAAGGGGATATGTACTCAGTTACACAACTGAATGCATTCAACTGAAATGTGTCTTCCGCATTTAACCCAACCCCGCTAAATCAGTGGACGTCATCGGTTACTGGCCCAACGCTCCACTAGGCTACCTGCCACCCCTATGGGGAAGAACATGTTGTTGTTGATTGTTGTTTTAGGCCTCCCTATGACTCACAGTATTGACTCTGTGTCCTCTTTGGTTCCACAGTGTCCATTGTTCCTGAGTCCTTCGAGCCCACGGCTGGAATTACCAAGGATGACAGCGTGGTAAGTCAGAGGTCATCTCCATGACAACAACCCTAGACCTCTCCTGTTGGTCCAGATGTTATTTCTGGGAAACAGTGAGAGGCACAGTCCTATATGGCTGTGATGATGTATGCTGAGCATTCAGCTTTAGAAATATCAAAACAAATCCACATAGGAGTGCTTGTCAGCATGGAGTATATTAGAATGTTGTGTTTGAGGTAGTGTCTTGCTGAGACTGCTGCTATGTGGTGTTAACCAGGACTCTCCTGTCCAGTGCTGAGACTGCTGCTATGTGGTGTTAACCAGGATTCTCCTGTTCAGTGCTGAGACTGCTGCTATGTGGTGGGACCAGGCTCTGTCGCAGCCGGCCGCGACCGGGAGACTCATGGGCGGCGCACAATTGGCCCAGCGTCGTCCAGGGTAGGGGAGGGAATGGCCGGCAGGGATGTAGCTCAGTTGATAGAGCATGGCGTTTGCAACGCCAGGGTTGTGGGTTCGATTCCCACGGGGGGCCAGTATATATATTTAAAAAAAAAATGTATTCACTAACTGTAAGTCGCTCTGGATAAGAGCGTCTGCTAAATGACGTAAATGTAAATGTGGTGTTAACCAGGACTCTCCTGTCCAGCGCTGAGACTGCTGCTCGGTGGAAGTAAAGGATGAGGGGGAAGGCTTTGAAGATTAGCTTGGCTCTTGATATAATAATCCACTACTATTCTGGGATGAGAGAGAGCGAGAGAGAGAGCGAGAGAGAGAGAGAGAGAGAGACTCAAACAGTTTGTGAATGCAGGACCCTATGATCTTTCTTGATTCTGCCAGACAGAAGCCATTAAAGTTTTATCAGGCAGTATTATGCCTTGGAGTAGCTGTCACACCATGTAGGTAGACTAAACTTAATGACAATACGCAGAGCATGTGTATGTCAGTAAATCATTTTTGTCAGTCATTAAGGCATGGAAACCTATAATTCCCTGGCCTTGCAATTTTGAAGACTACTGATTATAATAGTATGGAGTTCAGGGTTGGGGTCAATTCCATGTCCTGAAATGACTGAAATGGAATGGAACCCCAACCTGATTGTGTAACAGTTTAGGTTCCAATGTGTTTCTCCTCTAATGTTTCTGTTGTCCAGCAGGAAATATTGGCTGCTGAGATGCCCCTAGATGCCCCTGAGGTTAAAGCTGAGGATGTGGCGACGGGAGAGAATGATGTTATCATTCTGGAGGAGAGTGTGACCCTCCCCCCTGAGCCTGAGGTGACCATCGATGACACGGGCATGGAGGAGGAGGGTCTGCTGTTGGGGAACACTGTGGCTACAGAGAGCCCTCCCCTGGAGCACCTCCCTGCAGACCCTACCTCCCCCGAGCAGCCAGAGGGCACTACGCTCCCCGAGCCACCTCTGGAGATAGAGGCCTCTGGGTCAGGTGTTGACGGACTCGAGGTCCTGTCCTTCCAGCCCGAGGAAGAGGAGGCTGTAGAAGAAGAGCCAGCTCCAGCTGCAGATGAGGAACTTACCGTAGATGAAGAGGTAATTCTGGAAGAGGTGATTATAGAGGAAGAGATCCTAACAGAGGAAGCAGAAGCGGAGGTCCCTGAGGAAGAGGAAGCAGTGGAGGTCCCTGAGGAAGAGGAAGCAGTGGAGATCCCTGAGGAAGAGGAAGCAGCGGAGGTCCCTGAGGAAGAGGAAGCAGTGGTGGTCCCTGAGGAAGAGGAGGTAGAGGAGGAAGCAGAAGCGGAGGTCCCTGAGAAAGAGAAGGTAGAGGAGGAAGCAGTGGAGGTCCCTGAGGAAGAGGAAGCAGCGGAGGTCCCGGAGGAAGAGGAAGCAGTGGAGGTCCCTGAGGAAGAGGAGGTAGAGGAGGAAGCAGAAGCGGAGGTCCCTGAGAAAGAGAAGGTAGAGGAGGAAGCAGTGGAGGTCCCTGAGGAAGAGGAAGCAGCGGAGGTCCCGGAGGAAGAGGAAGCAGTGGAGGTCCCTGAGGAAGAGGAGGTAGAGGAGGAAGCAGAAGCGGAGGTCCCTGAGAAAGAGAAGGTAGAGGAGGAAGCAGTGGAGGTCCCTGAGGATGAGGAGGTAGAGGAGATCCCTGAGGAAGAGGAAGCAGCGGAGGTCCCTGAGGAAGAGGAAGCAGTGGTGGTCCCTGAGGAAGAGGAGGTAGAGGAGGAAGCAGAAGCGGAGGTCCCTGAGAAAGAGAAGGTAGAGGAGGAAGCAGTGGAGGTCCCTGAGGAAGAGGAAGAAGCGGAGGTCCCTGAGGAAGAGGAAGCAGTGGAGGTCCCTGAGGAAGAGGAGGTAGAGGAGGAAGCAGAAGCGGAGGTCCCTGAGAAAGAGAAGGTAGAGGAGGAAGCAGTGGAGGTCCCTGAGGAAGAGGAAGCAGCGGAGGTCCCTGAGGAAGAGGAAGCAGTGGAGGTCCCTGAGGAAGAGGAGGTAGAGGAGGAAGCAGAAGCGGAGGTCCCTGAGAAAGAGAAGGTAGAGGAGGAAGCAGTGGAGGTCCCTGAGGAAGAGGAGGTAGAGGAGGAAGCAGTGGAGGTCCCTGATACAGCAGAGGTTCTAGAAGAAGAAGCTGAACCCTCAGAAAACCTTGAGTACTCCATCATAGAGACAGAGACCATAGAAGAGTTGGAGGAAGAGGCCCCTGCCTTCGTCCCTGTGGAAACAACGGAAGCTCCCGAGCCAGTGGAGAACCTTAATGTCCCCGAGAATCCCCCTGCCATCGAGACTGTACCCCCAGATGAGCCTGAAGAAGAAGCTAACGAGGTGTTTGCTTATCCAGAAATACCAGAATATGGAGAGGAAGTTAAGAGCGTAGAGGAGGGACCAATCATCGAGCAGCCAGTAACTGGAGAGGATGCCTTGGAGGTGGCAGAAGAAGAAGTGGTGATGGAACCTCCGGACATTACTGAGATCTCGGAGGAGGATCTGGTAGAAGATGAGATGTTATTGGTTGACGAGGCTGTTCCAGAGGCCGCTCATCCCACCCCTCTCTCTGCAGAGAAGGAGTCGCCCTTCACCCGAGTCTCTGATGCCATAGTAGTGGAGGAGGCTACAGAGGCCACGGCCCTGGACACAGCCCCAGAACCAGAGGCAAAATCAGGGAACCAGGGGGTCACCCCAGCTCTCAGACCCGCAAAGTACTACCCTGGCCCAGACATTTCCATCACTCTGGAGGTAATAAAAGATGACGGAGAGATGATGGTTGTAATGTATGTTAGTCAGGGCCCTGAGTTTTTCCTGTCTGAGTGACCATGTGACCTGACTAGGATAAACTCCCCATGTTATAGTACTTTACTCAGTCTATTCATCTGTTTGCACAGATATTTCCTTGTTGTATCATGAATGTTACCAAATGTTGTTCCACACTGACCAATTGCACCATGAATTGTTTAATATCTGTTAAACCAGCTGCAGACGATAGACCCTGTGACAGACTATGACCAAACAGAGGAGGGGAGCAGCGGGCACCCCTCTGGAGGGGTACATGGTATGGACCACAGCGTTGCCATGCCAATCAACCCTGGGCGGGCGCTGATGGTGTTCTTCAGTCTGAGGGTCACCAACATGAAGTTCTCAGATGACCTCTTCAATAAGAGCTCCCCGGAATACAAGGCCCTGGAACAAAGGTTCATAGAGCTGGTGAGCTGTTACGTTTTAGCATTTATTCCCCCCTTTCCCCCTGTAGACTTAATTTGAAAATACATGTTTCACTTGAAGTGTTGTGCTGTATGTAGAGGGTGCTCACTCTCTGTATATCACTCTCTCTCTCTCTCTCTCTTTCTCTCTCCCTCACACTCTGCCCCCCTCTAGCTGGTCCCCTACCTCCAGTCCAACCTTAGTAACTTCCAGAACCTGGAGATCCTGAACTTCCGGAAAGGGAGTATCGTGGTCAACAGCCGAATGAAGTTCGGGAAGCCGGTGCCTCGCGGCGTCAACACTGCAGTCTACCTGATCCTGGAAGACTTCGCTAACACAGCCTACCAGACCATGAACTTGGCCATCGACAAGTACTCACTGGACGTAGAGTCAGGTAAGTTTGACAACTACCACATATTTCACCGGAGACACAAGGGAGGGCTCCTAATTATCCCAAATGATTCCTAGGCACTCCTCCTTTAGGTTTTGGGGAGTTCAAATGCATTAAAATGTACATAGCCACATGAATTGTCAGTTTAAAGCATGGCACAACGGATCCATTTTGTCATGAAAGCGCTCTCCAGGGAGGTTCTGTTCTAGACAGAAGACAAAGAGACAGAGTCACTTTTCAAAGGCAGAGACTGAGGGTATCTGTGTGTGTGTGTGTGTCTGTCTGTGTGTGTGTGTGTGTAGGCAAGGTGTTAAATGTCTCAGGGCGTTGTCATGCGTTCCTTCCATTACTCAATGTCTTGGTCACACTGATTGTGTAACTACAGCAAGATAATCCATATCACACTTTGGAGTAGCAAACCGTGAGAAAACATCCACTTCCTTTTCCCTCCCATGGGACATTTGTATTTTCTTTGGTGATACTTGTTATTGGCTTTATGAAGTGAAGTTATATTAAGTTACACAGTATATTACATTATTAAGTTAAGTTTATTAAGGTATTGAACATATGACACATGCATCAATATACAGTCCTGCAATATGTTTGTATGTGTGTAATCTCTTCCTCTCTCCTAGAGGCTCAGAGACTAGCGTGACTGTATGTGACAGTGTTTGTTTGTGTGTGTGACAGTATGGGGATCATATGAGGCCTTAGATAATATCAGACTGATGACTCACTCGCCCCTCTGTTCATGTCTCATCATGACAGATGAGCCGTCATAATCTGTCTGAGCCAATCACAACAAAAATAGCTAAGCCTTATTATGATTATATCCCAACATTACATTTCTAGGATTCTATTCTATTCTTATTAATAACCTTTTACATCTACTAATTGTAATATCCCCCTCTTCTAATGCAAGGAGAAACTATGCAGGATATACTGTACGCTATGACTCAGGACTAAACTTACCATAAATATCCAGAGCAATTCAAAACAATGTATTTGAATTGGAACTGGTGAACTGGACAATGTGCACTTATCAGGAGTTGACTGTATGTGCCCTAACACTTCCTGTGTGTTGTTGCCAGGTGACCAGGCGAACCAGTGTAAGTTCCAGGCATGTAACGAGTTTGCCCAGTGTTCTGTGAACCGCTGGTCTGGCGAGGCGGAATGTGTGTGTAATGCTGGATACTTCAGCGTGGACGGACTGCCCTGTCAGAGCATCTGTGACCTGCAGACAGACTTCTGTTTGAACGACGGGAAGTGTGACATCATACCTGGACAAGGGGCCATCTGCAGGTCGGTGTGTGTGTGTGTGTGTGTGTGTGGGGGGGGGGGGGGGGGGGGGGAGTATTGATCGCCTCCAGAGTGAGTGTGTGTGTGTGTGTGTGTGTGTGTGTGTGGGGGGGGGGGGAGTATTGATCGCCTCCAGAGTGAGTGTGTGTGTGTGTGTGTGTATATATACAGTGAGGGAAAAAAGTATTTGATCCCCTGCTGATTTTGTACGTTTGCCCACTGACAAAGACATGATCAGTCTATAATTTTAATGGTAGGTTTATTTTAACAGTGAGAGACAGAATAACAACACAAAAATCCAGAAAAACGCATGTCAAAAATGTTATAAATCAATTTGCATTTTAATGAGGGAAATAAGTATTTGACCCCTCTGCAAAACATGACTTAGTACTTGGTGGCAAAACCCTTGTTGGCAATCACAGAGGTCAGACGTTTCTTGTTGTTGGTCACCAGGTTTGCACACATCTCAGGAGGGATTTTGTCCCACTCCTCTTTGCAGATCTTCTCCAAGTCATTAAGGTTTCGAGGCTGACGCTTGGCAACTCAAACCTTCAGCTCCCTCCACATATTTTCGATGGGATTAAGGTCTGGATACTGGCTAGGCCACTCCAAGACCTTAATATGCCTCTTATTGAGCCACTCCTATGTTGCCTTGGCCGTGTGTTTTGGGTCATTGTCATGCTGGAATACCCATCCATGACCCATTTTCAATGCCCTGGCTGTGGGAAGGAGGTTCTCACCCAAGATTTGACGGTACATGGCCCCGTCCATCGTCCCTTTGATGCGGTGAAGTTGTCCTGTCCCCTTAGCAGAAAAACACCCCCAAAGCATAATGTTTCCACCTCCATGTTTGACGGTGGGGATGGTGTTCTTGGGGTCATAGGCAGCATTCCTCCTCCTCTAAACACGGCGAGTTGAGTTGATGCCAAAGAGCTCAATTTTGGTCTCATCTGACCACAACACTTTCACCCAGTTCTCCTCTGAATCATTCAGATGTTCGTTGGCAAACTTCAGACGGGCCTGTATATGTGCTTTCTTGAGCAGGGGGACCTTGCGGGCGCTGCAGGATTTCAGTCCTTCACGGCGTACTGTGTTACCAATTGTTTTATTGGTGACTATGGTCCCAGCTGCCTTGAGATCATTGACAAGATCCTCCCGTGTAGTTCTGGGCTGATTCCTCACCGTTCTCATGATCATTGCAACTCCACGAGGTGAGATCTTGCATGGAGCCCCAGGCCGAGGGAGATTTACAGTTATTTTGTGTTTCCTCCATTTGCGAATAATCGCACCAACTGTTGTCACCTTCTCACCAAGCTGCTTGGCGATGGTCTTGTAGACCATTCCAGCCTTGTGTAGGTCTATAATCTTGTCCCTGACATCCTTGGAGAGCTCTTTGGTCTTGGCCATGATGGAGAGTTTGGAATCTGATTGATTGATTGCTTCTGTGGACAGGTGTCTTTATACAGGTAACAAGCTGAGATTAGGAGCACTCCCTTTAAGTGTGTGCTCCTAATCTCAACTCGTTACCTGTATAAAAGACACCTGGGAGCCAGAAATCTTTCTGATTGAGAGGGTTCAAATACTTATTTCCCTCATTAAAATATAAATCAATTTATAACATTTTAGACGTGTTTTTCTGGATTTCTTTGTTGTTATTCTGTCTCTCACTGTTCAAATAAACCTACCATTAAAATTATAGACTGATCATTTCTTTGTCAGTGGGCAAACATACAAAATCAGCAGGGGATCAAATACTTTTTTCCCTCACTGTATGTGTTATTGTGTTGCTCTAACATATCATTCTTACTATTCTAGCTGTCATTTAGTTGGGTTTTGGGAGTGTTCTAGGTGTGTGTGTGTGTGTGTTTAGTTGAGTACTGGGAGTGTTCTAGGTGTGTGTGTGTGTGTGTGTGTGTGTGTTTAGTTGAGTATTGGGAGTGTTCTAGGTGTGTGTGTGTGTGTTTAGTTGAGTATTGGGAGTGTTCTAGGTGTGTGTGTGTTTAGTTGAGTATTGGGAGTGTTCTAGGTGTGTGTGTGTTTAGTTGAGTATTGGGAGTGTTCTAGGTGTGTTTGTGTGTTTAGTTGAGTATTGGGAGTGTTCTAGGTGTGTGTGTGTGTGTTTAGTTGAGTATTGGGAGTGTTCTAGGTGTGTGTGTGTGTTTAGTTGAGTATTGGGAGTGTTCTAGGTGTGTGTGTGTGTGTGTGTGTGTGTGTGTGTGTGTGTGTGTGTGTGTGTGTGTTTACTTGAGTATTGGGAGTGTTGTGTGTGTGTGTTTAGTTGAGTATTGGGAGTGTTCTAGGTGTGTGTGTGTGTGTGTTTAGTTGAGTATTGGAGTGTTCTAGGTGTGTGTGTGTGTGTGTTTAGTTGAGTATTGGGAGTGTTCTAGGTGTGTGTGTGTGTGTGTGTGTGTGTGTTTAGTTGAGTATTGGGAGTGTTCTAGGTGTGTGTGTGTAAGTGGCACTGACTGTTCTTCTTTGTGGTTCTAGATGTCGTGTAGGGGAGAACTGGTGGTACCGTGGAGAACACTGTGAGGAGTACGTGTCAGAACCGCTGGTGGTCGGAATAGCGATTGCCTCCGTAGCAGGTTTCCTATTGGTGGCTTCCGGTGTGATCTTTTTCCTGGCAAGGACACTACGGGATCAGTATGATAAGGATGAGACAGAGGACCCCATACGGTGAGAGTCAACACACACCACTCCTGCTTTGACATAGCCTCGCAATGGGATGGTACATTTTCTCACCTGTTGGATAGGGACTGCAATCCAGTCATACTAGTACTAAGAGGTGTGTTTGTGTACAGTACATGTGTGTACAGAGTACGTGTGTGTGGAGGTCCTGTGTGGCTCAGTTGGTAAAGCATGGCGCTTCCAATGCCTGGGTTGTGGGTTCGATTCCCATGGGGGACCAGTACAAAAAAATAACGAAATTGTATGCAGTCACTGTTGTAAGTCACTCTGGATAATGACAAAAAAAGAAAAACAATGTGTGTTAGTAGCTGAACAAAGTGTAGGTGTCTCTAATCCTGTCAGGAACAGCCATAGCCTCTACATTACACTACAGTACAATATAGCGGCTTTAGAGGAGTTATGTTAGTAGTAAATACCACTACAGATTGAACCTGTCTGAATATTTACTGTAAGAGGATATCCAATATTCAAGCCTGGGTCAGACATGATTATATCAGAAGACTTGTCTGTCTCCTGCTCCTTTTAGTAGACTAAGCTTAGCTCTCTCTCTGTCTCTCTCTCTCTGTCGCTCTCTCTGTCGCTCTCTCTGTCTCTCTCTCTGTCTCTCTCTCTGTGGCTGTCTGGCCCCCCAGGCGAGGGGAGAGTATCCCGTCTCTAGAGAGGGCCACTAAGTACAACCCCATGTATGAGAGTGAGGCTACGATGGGCTACAGCCACTACTACCGCCGCTACCCAGAGGCCCCGGTCTACAGCAGCACCAGTGCAGAGGCCTCCACAGACTTCAGCAGCGAGGAGATACGCCACATCTACGAGAACAGCGAACTGACCAAGGAGGTGTGTCTATGTCTGTCTGTGTGTGTGTCTGTGTGTGTGTCTGTGTGTGTGTCTGTGTGAGTGTCTGTTTGTGTGTCTGTGTGTGTGTGTGTGTGTGTGTCTGTGTCTGTGTGTGTCTGTGTGTGTCTGTGTGTCTGTGTGTCTGTGTGTGTCTGTGTCTGTGTGTGTGTCTGTGTGTGTGTCTGTGTGTGTGTGTGTCTGTGTGTGTGTGTCTGTGTTTCTGTGTGTGTCTGTGTGTGTGTAGGCTGGTGGGGTGGAGGGAAGGTGAAAGCCAAAGTTTGGGATCCCGTCCCATACTTATCTCATGTACAGTGGGGAAAAAAAGTATTTAGTCAGCCACCAATTGTGCAAGTTCTCCCACTTAAAAAGATGAGAGAGGCCTGTAATTTTCATCATAGGTACACGTCAACTATGACAGACAAATTGAGAAAAAAAATTCTGAAAATCACATTGTAGGATTTTTTATGAATTTATTTGCAAATTATGGTAGAAAATAAGTATTTGGTCACCTACAAACAAGCAAGATTTCTGGCTCTCACAGACCTGTAACTTCTTCTTTAAGAGGCTCCTCTGTCCTCCACTCGTTACCTGTATTAATGGCACCTGTTTGAACTTGTTATCAGTCTAAAAGACACCTGTCCACAACCTCAAACAGTCACACTCCAAACTCCACTATGGCCAAGACCAAAGAGCTGTCAAAGGACACCAGAAACAAAATTGTAGACCTGCACCAGGCTGGGAAGACTGAATCTGCAATAGGTAAGCAGCTTGGTTTGAAGAAATCAACTGTGGGAGCAATTATTAGGAAATGGAAGACATACAAGACCACTGATAATCTCCCTCGATCTGGGGCTCCACGCAAGATCTCACCCCGTGGGATCAAAATGATCACAAGAACGGTGAGCAAAAATCCCAGAACCACACGGGGGGACCTAGTGAATGACCTGCAGAGAGCTGGGACCAAAGTAACAAAGCCTACCATCAGTAACACACTACGCCGCCAGGGACTCAAATCCTGCAGTGTCCCCCTGCTTAAGCCAGTACATGTCCAGGCCCGTCTGAAGTTTGCTAGAGTGCATTTGGATGATCCAGAAGAGGATTGGGAGAATGTCATATGGTCAGATGAAACCAAAATATATATTTTTGGTAAAAACTCAACTCGTCGTGTTTGGAGGACAAAGAATGCTGAGTTGCATCCAAAGAACACCATACCTACTGTGAAGCATGGGGGTGGAAACATCATGCTTTGGGGCTGTTTTTCTGCAAAGGGACCAGGACGACTGATCCGTGTAAAGGAAAGAATGAATGGGGCTATGTATCGTGAGATTCTGAGTGAAAACCTCCTTCCATCAGCAAGGGCATTGAAGATGAAACGTGGCTGGGTCTTTCAGCATGACAATGATCCCAAACACACCGCCCGGGCAAAGAAGGAGTGGCTTCGTAAGAAGCATTTCAAGGTCCTGGAGTGGCCTAGCCAGTCTCCAGATCTCAACCCCATAGAAAATCTTTGGAGGGAGTTGAAAGTCTGTGTTGCCCAGCGACAGCCCCAAAACATCACTGCTCTAGAGGAGATCTGCATGGAGGAATGGGCCAAAATACCAGCAACAGTGTGTGAAAACCTTGTGAAGACTTACAGAAAACGTTTGACCTGTGTCATTGCCAACAAAGGGTATATAACAAAGTATTGAGAAACTTTTGTTATTGACCAAATACTTATTTTCCACCATAATTTGCAAATAAATTCATTAATAATCCTACAATGTGATTTTCTGGATAGTTTTTCCTCATTTTGTCTGTCATAGTTGACGTGTACCTATGATGAAAATTACAGGCCTCTCTCATCTTTTTATGTGGGAGAACTTGCACAATTGGTGGCTGACTAAATACTTTTTCCCCCCACTGTATATCATTGCCTTCCTTAATCTAATCTGTACAATCTGGATATAGACCAACCGATTGGACACAACGTCTGTCTGTCATGTAACATTTCTCACCCTGTTAACCCCACCCACTCTTCTTCCACAGGAAATCCAGGACAGGATACGCATCATAGAGATCTACGCGAAGGACCGGCAGTTTGCAGACTTTGTGCGTCAGCATCAAACGTGAGTGTGGCTCAATTCATTCTGTCTGCTTTAACTTGAGATCTTGGAGATATTTTACTCCCAGAAACATCTAACGAGCTACAGTATGCCTGTCCCAGAGAGACAGGCCACATTAGTGGAGACAGACAGTGACTCTGTTTGGTGTCACTTTGACTGGCAGCGTATGTCTGTGTGAGAGAAAATAAGTGTGTGAGGTGTTGGCTTGCATGAGTTGGCATTGCGTGGTGATTTTGCAGTCATATTAGTGTTAGTGTGATCATGGGCGACTGTGTGTCTAGTCTGTGTGTGAGGTACTGTATTTAGTTGCTTGGAAAGCATGGCACTCACAGTTAGAGTGTCTGCTGCCCAGTACCCACACTGCCCAGTCTAATCAGTGTGTGTGTGTGTGTGTATGTGCATGTGTGTGTCTTCCACAGTGCCCTGGATACACGCAGCGAGAGCGCCCTTGATACATGCAGAGAGATCGCCCATGATACATGCAGAGAGATCGCCCTTGATACATGCAGAGAGATCGCCCTTGATACATGCAGAGAGATCGCCCTTGATACATGCAGAGAGATCGCCCTTGATACATGCAGAGAGATCGCCCTTGATACATGCAGAGAGATCGCCCTTGATACATGCAGAGAGAGCACCCTTGATACACGCAGAGAGAGCGTGTCCACATAGACCTGTATGAGACTCTCAGCTGTATGCTGCGAAAAACAAGGTACCCTATCCTTAACTTGTAAGCACCGGAGGGTCTTTGCTCTTGTCCTGCCCTGCTCTTCCTCCTTTGTCAGTGCCTTCTCTCGATTGGGTGAGCTCTGCTGGAATGAGTGTGGTGGCTGTGGGCAGATCCTCTGCTCATTGGATGTCTTCCTTTCGGAGAAGACCCGCCTCCCTCCATTTAGAATCATATTTGTTACCTGAAATGATGACATACAAAATGCAATGCTCTCCAGGATACCTGTTCTTTAGGTAGCACATAAGACATAATAGAGTATTACCTTTGCATTTAACGTCATATCTCAGCCCGTGGTTGTTGAGGGAAGAACATAACACTCTGAACATGTAAATATTGATCCATTGTAATGCAGTGATTGTCACTGCATCTGCTAATGTTGTATGGACTGTTATGGTTAAAGTACATATTATGTATGAACTAGAGCCAGTTCTCAAAGGGATGGTTTATACCAGGGGTGCACAACTCAGGCCCTCAGGTAACTCAGACCCTCAGGCAACTCAGGCCTTCAGGTAACTCAGGCCTTCAGGTAACTCAGGCTCTTTTGGCAAATCTCACATCTCAGCCCTACAGTGAGGGAAAAAAGTATTTGATCCCCTGCTGATTTTGTACGTTTGCCCACTGACAAAGACATGCTCAGTAAAAACATGACTTAGTACTTGGTGGCAAAACGCTTGTTGGCAATCACAGAGGTCAGACGTTTCTTGTAGTTGGCCACCAGGTTTGCACACATCTCAGGAGGGATTTTGTTCCACTCCTCTTTGCAGATCTTCTCCAAGTCATTAAGGTTTCGAGGCTGACGTTTGGCAACTCGAACCTTCAGCTCCCTCCACAGATTTTCTATGGGATTAAGGTCTGGAGACTGGCTAGGCAACTCCAGGACCTTAATGTGCTTCTTCTTGAGCCACTCCTTTGTTGCCTTGGCCGTGTGTTTTGGGTCATTGTCATGCTGGAATACCCATCCACGATCCATTTTCAATGCCCTGGCTGAGGGAAGGAGGTTCTCACCCAAGATTTGACGGTACATGGCCCCGTCCATTGTCCCTTTGATGCGGTGAAGTTGTCCTGTCCCCTTAGCAGAAAAACACCCCCTTAGCATAATGTTTCCACCTCCATGTTTGATGGTGGGGATGGTGTTATTGGGCCCTGTATATGTGCTTTCTTGAGCAGGGGGGACCTTGCGGGCGCTGCAGGATTTCAGTCCTTCACGGCGTAGTGTGTTACCAATTGTTTTCTTGGTGACTATGGTCCCAGTTGCCTTGAGATCATTGACAAGATCCTCCCGTGTAGTTCTGGGCTGATTCCTCACCGTTCTCATGATCATTGCAACTCCACGAGGTGAGATCTTGCATGGAGCCCCAGGCCGAGGGAGATTGACAGTTATTTTGTGTTTCTTCCATTTGCAAATAATCGCACCAACTGTTGTCACCTTCTCACCAAGCTGCTTGGCGATGGTCTTGTAGCCCATTCCAGCCTTGTGTAGGTCTACAATCTTGTCCCTGATATCCTTGGAGAGCTCTTTGGTCTTGACCATGGTGGAGAGTTTGGAATCTGATTGATTGATTGCTTCTGTGGACAGGTGTCTTTTATACAGGTAACAAGCTGAGATTAGGAGCACTCTCTTTAAGAGTGTGCTCCTAATCTCAGCTCGTTACCTGTATAAAAGACACCTGGGAGCCAGATATCTTTCTGATTGAGAGGGGGTCAAATACTTATTTCCCTCATTAAAATGCAAATCAATTTATAACATTTTTGACATGCATTTTTCTCAATTTTTTTGTTGTTATTCTGTCTCTCACTGTTCAAATAAACCTACCATTAAAATTATAGACTGGTCATTTCTTTGTCAGTGGGCAAATGTACAAAATCAGCAGGGGATCAAATACTTTTTTCCCTCACTGTATATGGCTCTGGTGAGAAGTAGTGCACTATCTTTCAGGAAAAGTGGACAATGTAGGGAATCTCCTTCTTCTCTCTCTCGTCGCTCTCCCTTCCTCTCTCTCCCCCTCCATCTCTCACTCTACATCAGGAATCAGTTGGAGTTTTTCTGTCAGAGAGAGCGAGAGAGAGCGAGAGAGAGAGAGAGCGAGAGAGAGAGAGAGCGAGAGAGAGAGAGAGAGAGAGAGAGAGAGAGAGATAGATAGAGAGAGAGAGAGAGAAGAGATGAGAGAGAGAAAAGGAAGAGAGCGCCGAGAGCTCCGCGATGATCTCTCTCTCTCGCTCTCAGCCTCTCTCGCTCTCTCTCTCTCTTCTCTCCCACTCTCTCTCTTCTTCTCTCTCTCGCTCTCTCTTCGCCTCTTCCTCGCTGATTTTTTCCCAAGGACCAAAATATAACAGAAAACACATTTAGAATGGAAACAATCTTCAAGGGGAAAGAAAGCAAACCAAAGATTTCATCAGGCTGTCTGTTTTCAGATATAATGTGATAGAAAACATTCAAAAAAGAGTATTAAATGTGAACGGGTAAACAACATGTGCTCTGTGGATAAGCAAACTCTTAGCTGCAGCTTTTACTCAAATTGAATTCACCAGCAATGTGAAAAAGGTCCATTCTGTAACCACTAGTTTGGCCATCATCCATGATTCTCAACCTGGAAGCATTTCACATTGAGATGAGGGGTTTCCATGTTGTTTGTTTGTTATATTCATCTGTTCCTCCACGGGGTCACATGCTTGACCTCTCTTATGTCCATAGTGAATCCTCAAAGTTGCAACTCTTCACGCTATATATGCCAGTAACCGAAAGGTCGTTGGTTCTAATCCCCGAGCCGACTAGGTGAAAAATCTGTCGATGTGCCCTTGAGCAAGGCACTTAACCCTAATTGCTCCTGTAAGTCGCTCTGGATAAGAGCGTCTGCTAAATGACTAAAATGTAAAAAATGTATAGGTTTACTTTATCACTTTGTTTTGACTGTGAATATTCATAGGTCATAAGAATATACAGGATGAATCTCAAATGGCAACCTATTCCCTATCTAGTGCACCACTTGCCTAAAGTAGTGCACTAGATAGGGTAAAGGATCCCATTTGGGTCGTAGCCACAGACATATAGGAGATATTTCATGTTTTAGGTTCATGTTTACATTTCATGTTATACTGTCCTCTTCTCTCAGTCCTCTGTATGGCTCCACACAAGAGAAAACACAGGTTACTCTGGTAAAGTATATACTAACCTTCCACTTATGACAACGTCATGCCTTTGCAATCTGTGTAAGCATTTTTATATCAATTTTCTCGTGTGCATAAAGTGGTTTTCTCGACATTCTCCACCTCCATCGGGACACATAGTCAACGGTTGGATACAGAACTCTGTGATGTAAATACTATCTAAGAGTTGTGGTATGTAATTTACAATAGAATGTCAATTGAATGTGTTTGAAATTTTGAAATGTTTTGTTGTACAAAGTCTGTTTATTTTTTACATAAGCTCTGGTTTATTATTTTTACAATATTACATTACTACTTGCAGTTTTGGCAATGTTTATTCTTAAAGAATAAAACGAAGCAATTATTAAAAATACATGTTTTATACTAAATTATGACTTATGCTATGTTTGTTACAGAAGTCTCCCGTTGACATGCTTGTATCAAGAACTGAACTGTTTAGAACAGTTTCACTGAGGGCTTCAATTTAGGGCTAAATTCAATCAGATTGACCTCCGCATAGCGGTTGTTTTGGTGGTGTCAGAGGTGGAACTGTGTTAGAGCTGTTAAAACCATTACCTTATCGAGGACACTACCATTGGATGCAACGAAAACCACACTCCACTATGATCCGACAAATTCCATGCAGCCCGCGTTAGAAATTCATGCAGCCGCGTTACAAGTTCAAACACTCGAATTAGACTGATAGGCCATAAAGCCCCCCATCCAAATGAACATGAAAACATGCATTAGCCTAACATCAATGGTTTGACATTTGAGAGTCATCAATTCTATCATCGACAGAGCCTTCACCTTCTAGTGCTGTTTTGAACTTCTAACACGATAGGGATACTAAAGGAGTGGTCTGTGACACACGAGCAGCCGTTCACCGATGTGTCAGCTCATACCGCTGTTACACCTCCAACACCGCCAAAACATCTGATATGCGGATGACGGTCAACGCTGGTTAACGCTGGTTAACGCTGGTTAATGCTCAACCTGATTGAATCTATTGGAGCTGTTCAGCTCTTCAATCTGTTCATCGATTGATCCAGTATTGATGGGTTGATGAGCACTAATCCAAAAAACGTATTAGCATTAGGTGCTGTGGATTAGGCCAGCCAGCTTGA